TTGGTTATGCCAGGTAAGTATGATGCCACAAGAGTGATGCCGTTGATGATGCACCAATTCCACAGTCGGACAGCCTCTGCACATAGGGATCACAAGCGTGCTCCACCTTGACGGTTGATGTCGAACATTGTGGGCACATTGTCTGTCAGGATTTTTACCATGGAGTTGTGAATGCGAATGCGAAAATGCTGGCAAGCATTGAAGACGGCCCTGAGCTCCAGCAGATTTATATGGAGCAGCGTCTCTTGGGGTGTCCAGCAGCCCTGCACCGACATGTCGTTCATGTGTGCGCCCCAGCCCAGGAGGGAAGCATCTGTTGTAATCTGATGACTTGGTAGTTGCTGTTGGAAAAGCATTCCAGATAGCAAATGCCTTTCCACAGTCCACCAACGAAGGGACGTGATGATGCTGGGGGGGATTGTTACCATTCTGTGTACATCTGGGGTGGTGTGATTCTGCACAATGGCCAGCCAATGCTGAAATGCGCAAAAGTGTAGTCTTGCATTCGTGACCATGAAGGTATTTGCGGCCATATGCCCCATAAGCTTGAGAACCAAAAGAACCTGAATCCTGTGGTTGGATTGACAGGTATCTATTAGAGACTGTATGGCTTGGAATCTGGCTAGGAGGAGGAATGCCCTTGCCACTGTTGAATCCAACCTCGCCCCAATGAACTCTAGGTTTTGGGTCTCAGCCAACTAGGTATCACGCTGGGAGATGCATCATGTAAAGCTGTGGGTGGAGCAGGCGGCTGTGGTTCTGGGTGAGTAGTGCTGGAAATAGTGGCAGCTAGAAGGTCCGCTTGGTGATGGTCAACATCCTGGCGGTCTATGTAGACGATCAGCCCTTTATGAGGCAGTCGTCGAGGTAGGAGAATATGCTTACTCCGTTGCGCCGGAGATGTGCTGCGACCACAGAGAGCACTTTTGTGAACACTCTGGGAGCTGCTGAGAGTCCGAATGGAAGGACCCTGTATTGATAGTGACTGTCGCCTACCACAAATCTGAGGAATCATCAGTGTGAAGGGTGAATTGTGATGTGAAAGTAAGCGTCCTGTAGGTTGAGAGCAACAAACTAGACGTTCTGATCTAAAGCTGGAATAATTGATGTGAGGGTTACCATCTTAAAACGTTGTTTCTGCGGGAATCTGTTTAGTCGCCTGAGGTCCAAGATCAGCCTCCAACCACCTGTTTTCTTTTGAACTAGGAAATAGTGGGAATAGAACCCTTTCCCCCTGAATTCACGCGGTACTGTTTCGACCGCACTGATCTGCAGCCGATGTTGAATTTCTGATCTGAGCAGATGTTCGTGAGAGGGGTCCTTGAAAAGGGATGGGTTTGGGGGGATTGTAAGTGGGATGCACAGGAAGGGGCTAGAGTAGCTGAATGCGAATGCGAAAATGCTGGCAAGCATTGAAGACGGCCCTGAGCTCCAGCAGATTTATATGGAGCAGCGTCTCTTGGGGTGTCCAGCAGCCCTGCACCGACATGTCGTTCATGTGTGCGCCCCAGCCCAGGAGGGAAGCATCTGTTGTAATCTGATGACTTGGTAGTTGCTGTTGGAAAGGCACTCCGGATAGCAAATGCCTTCACACAGTCCACCAACGAAGGGACGTGATGACGTTGGGGGGGATTGTTACCATTCTGTGTACATCTGGGGTGGTGTGATTCTGCAGGTTTGCGGATGGCTGTTTTGGTTGCGATGTCTCGGAGGCCGCTGACGTTGGCAAGAGTTATCTAATGGCTTTTGTTGTTCTGCTGCCATGGTTGCCTCTGGTGATAGTAGTCATAACACCTCTGGAATGGCATGTACTGGCGTCTTTTATATGGCGGAGTATACATCCCAAGAGTCCGTAGTGTGGACCTAGTGTCTTTACTGGAATGCAACAAGATGTTGGTTTTCTCTGCAAACAGATTTTCTTTTTCAAAGGGCAAGTCCTCTACCTTTGATTGCAGATCCCTAGGAACTGCTGCTGCCTGGAGGAATGAGGCTCTTCTCATGACTACTGCCGTAGCAGTGGCCCTAGCTGTGGTGTCTACCACATCCGCTGCTATTTATAACCTGGTTCTAATGGAGGCATATCCTTCCTTCACCAGCGCCTTCAGGATAGGCCTCTTAGACTCAGGCAGAGATTACATAAGGGTTGTGAATTTCGCATAGTTGTTGGTTGGATAGGTGTGGTTGGATAGGTGAGCTAAATAGTTGGCTATCTGAAGGAGGAGTGTTGCGGATGTATACACTTTCCTTCCAAAGAGATCTAGTCTCTTTGGGTATGTCTACACTACCCCACTAGTTCGAACTAGCGGGGTAATGTAGGCATACCACAATTGCAAATGAAGCCCGGGATTTGAATTTCCCAGGCTTCATTTGCATAAGCGGGGCGCCACCATTTTTAAATCCCCACTCGTTCGAACCCCGTGCCGCGCGGCTATACGCGGCACGAACTAGGTAGTTCGAACTAGGCTTCCTAGTTCGAACTACAGTTACTCCTCATTCCACGAACAGGGTTCGAACGAGCGGGGATTTAAAAATGGCGGAGCCCCACTTATGCAAATGAAGCCCGGGAAATTCAAATCCCGGGCTTCATTTGCAAGTGCGGCGAACGAGCGGGGATTTAAAAATGGCGGCACCCCTCTTATGCAAATGAAGCCCGGGAAATTCAAATCCCGGGCTTCATTTGCAATTGCAGTATGCCTACATTACCCCGCTAGTTCGAACTAGCGGGGTAGTGTAGACATACCCTTTCAGTCCTTATCTGAGGCCTGGCTCCTGTATTGTGGAGCATGTGCTTGTTTTCGCGCCGCATCAACCACCAAGGAGTTGGGGAACGGATGCGTAAACAGGAATTCTGACTCCTTGGGTGGCACAAAGTGTTTCTTGTTGGCCTTTTTATTTGTAGGTGGGACTGATGCTGGGGTTGCCCACAGTTCATTGGTGACCTCCAAAATGGCCTCATTGAGGGGAATAGCCAGTTTAGGAGGTTGGGACGTCTCTAGGTTTTTGAAGAGATGGTGGGGTTTACTCTGAATCTCAGTGAGCTGGATCTCCTGAGAGAGAGCGACCCTTTTAAAAAGCTCCTGGAATTGTCTGATATCATCCAGGGGCGAGATATCGCCTGGTATCACCGCCTCGTCTGGTGAGGATGATGAAGGATCTGCAGGAGACTCCTGAGGTTGATGGGGTTGTTTGAAGCGTTGCTTCTCCTTAGTGTGGGAGGGGGGAGGCGGTGGCGAATGTGGACTATGCACCGATGGAGGTGGGTCGATAGCCAGTAATGTAAAGATGAGTCGTGCGACCTGGGCCTGATCGGTGATCTGTTAGATTGGTGATAGGCACTGTGACATAAGAATGTAAGAACATAAGAATGGCCATACTGGGTCAGACCAAAGGTCCATCTAGCCCAGTAGCCTGTCTGCTGACAGTGGCCAGCAGCAGGCGCCCCAGAGGGGGTGGACCTAAGGCAATGATCAAGCAATTTGTCTCCTGCCATCCTTCTCCAGCCTCTGACAAACAGAGGCCAGGGATACCATTTTCTATCCCCTGGCTAATAGCCTTTTATGGACCTAACCTCCATGAAATTATCTAGCTTCTCTTTAAACTCTGTTATAATCCTAGCCTTCACAGCCTCCTCTGGCAAGGAGTTCCACAGGTTGAGTATGTGCTGTGTAAAGAAGAACTTTCTTTTATTAGTTTTAAATCTGCTACCCATTAAATTCATTTGGTGTCCTCTAGTTCTTCTATTATGGGAACTAATAAATAACTTTTCTTTATTCACCTTCTCCACACCACTCATGATTTTATATATCTCTATCATATCCCCCCTCAGTCTCCTCTTTTCTAAGCTGAAAAGTCCCAGTCGCTTTAGCCTCTC